AGACTTAAAACGTTGGGAGAATTTACATTTATCATTATTAGGTAGGATAGCTACAATTAAAATGAACATTTTACCAAGGTTTTTATTTTTAGCACAAAACCTACCAATATTAAAAACATAAAAATATTTCAAAGATTTAAATAAGTTAGTAGGAAAATTCATCTGGCAATCAAAGAAACCCAGGATAAAATTGGTAAGTCTGCAAAGACAAAAAGAAAATGGAGGTTTTGCCCTACCAAATTGGCAGATATATTACTATGCGGCTTCCATGGAATGGATTAAAGACTGGGCTAAATTAGAAAATACTAGATTATTAGCATTGGAAGGAGCCGATTTAGAAATGGGCTGGCATGCATACCTTTGGTATGGCAAGGACAAAATTAAGTCAAATTTCCATACTCATGTAGTTAGAAGGGCTTTGATTAAAGTTTGGAATGTTATAAAGAAAAGTAATTATATGAAAATACCATTATGGATATCACCCTTGGAAGCATTTACACCACCTTCCCTAATAATGGGCAGAAGGAAAGAGATTTATGGAAATCTATTAACTAAAGAGTTTGAAATAAAATAGGAAGAAATATTAGCAAAACAAAATATAGTATTGTCACCATGGGAAAAAAGAACATAATAAGATCAAGATATACCATAGATTAAAAAATAGGCTTCTACAATAACCAAACAGAGTTAGATAAAATCTGGCTCTCAACGAGCGACAAATTAATTCAAAAACTTTATAAGAAATTTCTAGAGGATGCCAGCATGAAAGAGGACAAAACAGATTTCAAATTAAGATGGGAGAAGGAACTAGGTCATAAAATAGAGGAGAAAAATTGGCGTAAAGTATGGAATTCAATTAAACTATCTAGAGCAGTACCACTTAAAGAAAGCGTATACAAAATGTATTATAGATGGCACTGGACGCCGAATAAAATTGCAAAATGCTTCCACGACGCTTCTAACAGATGCTGGAGATGTAAAAAGAACGTAGGGACATTCATGCATATTTGGTGGAATTGTGATAAGGTCCAGAGATTTTGGAAAAAACTGCGAAAAAGATTAAATAAAATTCTAAAAATTAAATTACCTTTACTACCAGAGGTTTTTTTCTTAAATATGATCCCAGGCACAATAAAAAAAACATAAACAGATAATAATATATACACTAACCGCGGCAAGAATCTTGATTGCAAAAAGATGGAAATCGAATACTTTACCCTCAATTAAAGAATTAAAATATAAGATCCTGGAAATAGCGGAAATGGACAGAGTAAATATGGAATTAAAATACAGACCGGAAGAAAAATATTGGGAAAAATGGGGAGAAATATACAGCTGGTTGAAGATAAAGAAGATAGAAATTAATGGGAGATAGGCTAGCAATAATAGATTTAAGATGGAAGTACAAATGCACTGCTGGTATAAAACTTAAAATAGATATTGTGAGACATATTAAATATTCAATATATTGTTTGACATATTATGTTGATGGAAAATGTGAATGTGATATTTATCTTGGTTAACATCAATATGTTGTTGGAGATTGTTAAGTGGTGTAAAATAATGGAAAGAAAATCCAATAAAAATATTTATTAAAAACAAAAATGAAAATGAAAAAAAAATATATAGGGGCATTATGATATTGGCTGATGACAGCATATATATAAATCTTTAAATTGCACACGTTTGCAGCCAATGGGGATTTTGTTCAGTTGTAGACTCAGACATGTTCCGGACAGCATTTTTTCACTCGGCTTGGCTTAATGACGTCAGCTTTTTTCTCCAGGACTCTTCGGGTCACAGCGCCACACTACCACCGCATGGCCGGAACGGCCCATTACAGGCTTCTTGATGCTGAACAGATCTTCTAGGCTTCCGATCTTACGAGCTGGACATTCCGTTCGCCGGCTAACACCTCCCCCACTGGGGGAGGGTTTGGTGTGCCCACCCTCTCTAAGGAGTGGTACCCATTTTATCTACTCGCCGAAGCTTATGAACCGCTGGGTGGACGGAGAGCTGGGGACAAGGCTGGTAGCTCACACCAGCGCGGGGCTAGAACTGACAGCAGTTCTGTTCAGCTCAGATGTTACTGTAACCAGGGGATAAATCCCCTGTGCCATGGTCTCTAGAGCATGGGTCTCTAGAACGAGGGGCATAATTATCACCCTATTCTGCTAGATAGGCTACTGACATCAAATACTGGTAAGGGTGTGAAGGCCAATGCATAGGCGGAGGTGGCTGCGGCCATAGAACCACTGGTATCAGTTGTAGTTCGGAATCATGTGAAACCTGGCCAGCTGCCAGATCCATATCTATCTCTCCTTCCAAAATCAAAACCAGAGGGGACCTTGGGCCCGAAGAGGAGTCTTGGGTGGATCCACTACTTCTGAAAGATCCAGCATTGGAACCAGTGTACAGATGAAGAAGAAGAGATTGGATTTATACCCCACCCTTCACTACCCAAAGGAGTCACAGAGCAGCTTAAAATATCCTTCCCCACCCCACAACTGACACCCTGTGAGGTAGGTGGGACTGAGAGAGGTCTCTTGAGAACTGCCCTTGAGAGAACAGCTCTGAGAGAGCTTATGACTGACCCAAGGTCACACCAGCAGCTGCATGTGGAGGTGTGGGGAATCAAACCCGGTACTCCCAGATTAGAGTCCGCAATCCTAACCACTACAGCAAACTGGTTCTCTGGGAGTATGATGTTGCTACTCAGCCTTGTGCCTCTCTTTGCTCTTAGATTTGGTCTAGGGTTTCTTAGCTAGTGGTTCCAACAAACACCGTTAGGTAGGTGGAGGCTGCAATTTAGATCCACTGAGATTCAGACTCTGGCAATGGCGGGACCAACTTGGTCGAATCAGAAGACACTGGCTTCAAGGACTTCTCTGCAACCAATGACTTAGACAGGGAATCCGTCGATTTAAGGGCCTTTTGCTAGAGCGCTGCTTTGCATTTCGAAGCCTGATTTCCCCTAGCTTTAGGAGTGAAGCACTGGCACACTTTACAAGTAGAGACATTGTGTCCTTCTCCCAAGAAAAACAGGCAAAGATGGGTGTTTGTTTGTTGAGTCATTTTGGCACTGCACCTGGTGCACTTTTTAAATAAAGACCTTTGCGCCATCAGCAAGAGGGGCTGGGAAGAAAACAAGCTGTCCGCCACACAAAGGGGGGGGGGGGGGAAGCTAAATTGATCCAGGAAACACTCAGAAGAACAAACCAATTGGAGATCTAGAAGCTAGAACCTTCTCCTTCGGTGGCAAAAAAGGAACTGAGGGTGGGACACTGGGGCTCTGGCACATGTGACCGCTTGGGTAGGAAAAAGAGCTTCTGGCTCCAGCACACAGCACCCCCCCCCCCCCCATGTGGGGTTGCCAAATGGGGTGGGCAATGCCATTTGAGGGGAAAACGTTACCCGACGCCCCGGGCCCCGATTCCCCGGCGTCGGGTAACGGGCCTCCGGGGCGGGGGGAATTCCGCCCTACCGGGGGGGTTGGCAGCCCTACCCCCATGGGACTGCACAGAAGATTGATGATGAATCAATATTTCCATATCACTGACAGATCTTGGATGTTGACTGTTTACATTTTTCTGTTAGCGTTATGGCACATGAGGTGCAAACACCTTTTCTCACCAGCTTTCAAAGCCAAGCTTTGATTTTAGCACACCTTCTGCAACATTTAGTCACAATGGTCATGTACAATTCACCCACTGCCAGTTATTTCGACAGCAAACCCATCTGGAAACAAGATAGCAGCAAGAAGAATGTCTACTTCAAAAAAATAGACAGGAATTTGCGGTCAACAAATTATTGTTTTAACAGAACAGTATACATCTTGATTTCTGTATTTTCTAATGCAGACCTCTCTTCTGCGAAGCCGTAAATCAAGAACCATGCTAGCAAAAAAACAAAAACAAAACCCACACAACACTCAGCCGTTTAATACACTTTTAAAAGTCTGTTAGCAGATATTGCATTGTGTAAGCAACCAGGCACTTACTACAGCAAATTCTAAAATCAATAGTTACCCAGGTCCGACTATGGTCAAAAGTATATTTAGGATACAAATAGCACAGGACAAAAAGATGTAATTCATTTCTAATCACTTCAAAGATTACTCCGAATAATATTTCCACCTATTTCAACCTTTCCATTGCTATTAATTAAGCTGCAGAGTCTTATGAACAAAAATTCTACTTTGTGAGCTATTGGCATTAAAGTTGTGAACAAGCGATTTGGCTACTGCATAAATTAGTTTGCTCTGGAGCCATCCTTCCTGAGCTAAGACAAAAATGTGTGAGCTGGAGGCTAAAAAACTATGAGCTAGCTCACACTAACTCAGCTTAGACTGGTTAGCATTCTAACTGGCTGCAGCTTTCCAGTAGAGGCCTTGCAAAGTAGTGTGCACAGATTCTAGGCCTGCAAGTGTCCTGAATGTGGATCTTTATGTATGCAATAGCTAATTATAGCATAACTTTGGCTTGTCTAAAACACAAACAAGAGCATCACACACAAGCTAAGCTACTGTCCCAATTTACTTAAGGAAGAACAGCATGTGGTAAGAATGTAAAGGGCAGCCCATAATCTATGAATGAATTGAGAAAAGCCTGTTAGCAAAAACCTTTTAGAACTTTGAAAAGCTCACTTACAAACACATTCAACATAACACTCAAATGAAACTATGATAATGTTCTCCTACTGGAAAGTATAAACTGCCAGATTTGGGGGTACATGTCAGACTGCATGACTGGTTCAACACAAACAACAAAGAGATACAACAAACCAAGAAACTAATAAGTCAACTGGGTAGTTATTATGATTTCAAAAGAAATACTAGGTGACTAAAAAGTGGTATGACACTATAGATTTGTATTCTAAAAGCACAGCTTACATTAATTCCAGTAAGAGAAGAAAGCCCATTTAATGCCCACCATATCCTGGCCTACTTTTGCTGCTCACAGCTGTGCCACCTAATCCATAGCTCTGGTGAGCATGCTCACTTTGTACTTGTTCTCCATTTTGGTAGGGGTTGGAATGTGGCCTCGCTTCCTGAAGGTTGTAAAGTGCTTGCATTGAGGGCATGGCTTGGTGCTTGAGCTAATACGGCGGAGTTCCAGGAAGTACTTATACTTGATGATGTCATCATGTGGCAAGTGGTACAGGACAGTTGTTTCATCCAAACGTTCACTGCATTCTGTTATTGGACACTGGATGTCTGCAAGTCCCACCTGCACCTGCACAGAAACACAGAAGTGATGGTCAAAAGTGTGTTGCCAAGAACACTGCATACCTTCTCTCTATTAAAGATTAACTATTTACCTTGTGAGTGTACATGACCAAAGCCATATTACTTTACACTGCAACAGCATAAAATGCTACCTTTATGAAGATGGATTTCATCAAAAGTTCGCTGAACGTTTACATGGTATAGAACACAAAATATATCACTGAAAGGAAAACTCCTTTCAACATCAGAACCCACAAACTTACAGATCAATCTGTCATCAGAACCCACTCCAGACAAGAGAGAAACCATTATTCACCATTTTGCTTTTTTCATACATCAAGAAAATCACATGCCTCTATGGTGTTAACTCTGCACAGACTTGTTCCCTATAATTATCTTTTTCCCCTTGACCAACTGGCAGATAGTCCAAGTTGTAAAATCTTGCAAGACTCATCTACAGTGTTAAGGAGAGCCACGTAACTACAAATTTAAAATTGTGCAGGATAGAAAGCAACTGAGTTTTTATTATAATAATACCATGAAACTAAGACAGTATACACTTAAGGAGTTCCCACTGTAGTTAGATCAGTGGGATGCGTGATAAATCATGAACCATTCAGGATAGACTGCTTGAAGCAGTCTCTTACACTTAGAAATGGTGAATGGGAGATGGCACCACCCAGCTGGTAAATAAGACAAAAGTATAAAAAGACTGACAATATATTTCTTGTTTAGTAGAAAATAATCGGTCTGAAATTGCTGTAGTGGTTTTATTAGTATTTCACAGACACAGACACACACACACACGCACACAGAGGTTCTATGACAATGAAATCAGCTTTGAAGTAAAGCTATCGCTATTATGTTTATTGTGGATTCAAAGCAAAGAAACAGTATATATGGGGAATGCAATGTTTTTCCATGCAGCCCCACATCTGCTTCACATCATAATGCTAAGGAAGAAAGTGTTCCTGGATCATCCTCCAGTATATATAATTCTATTTTGGTCATGGACTCCCCTGAACATTCCAACACACTCCAAAATCAGTTTACTCTCTGATCTCAATTCAATTCAATTCAAAAACCTTTATTGGCATAGATCAGAATCATACACAATCGCCATTCAGTTCATGGATTTAACACATAGCTTCCTCATTATAAGGCAGTTACAGAACTTAGCAACCGCTTCAATAACCGCTATATTTTGTGAAGCCAGTAAACGATACAACATTCTGTCATCGGAT